CCTGGGGAGACTGTCAGGCTAACCGCGTTGACATCACCCCCTTTTACCAGTAGTGCAGGCTTGTTGCTGTGCACTGGGGACCCTTTACATTAAAACATAGATCTATATTAAAAACACACCTATTTAATTGCAGTTATTGACATAGGCATAGTATGATGATTTAAAACTACTTAGACTGTCACAGTCTAAGATGTCACCAGGTAGAGTGTTCCATTTAGCTATTGTCCTAGGGAAATAGCTAAATTTGTATGCATCCGTTCTAGCTGATGGTTGTATGAACTTAGAAGGATGATACAACCTAGTGTTGGTATTGATCTGTTGGCGGGAGTATGGAGGCACGTCGATGGCTGCTAGGTTCTGCTTTCCTTTGTAGAAAAGGAAAACTCTAGCAGCCTCTCGACGCTCCTTCAGTGGCTCCCACTGTAGGTCTTGAAGAGCTTTGGTGACGCAGCCTGGTTCCCTTGAGTGACATTTGGTTACAAACCTGGCTGCTCTTCTCTGTACCTGTTCCAACATATCAATATCTTTTTGTCGGTATGGATCCCATGCCGAGCTGGCATACTCTAAATTAGGCCGGACTAGTGACTTATACGCCTGAGCCTTCACTTTTTCAGGGCATTGATGGAGGTTGCGCCTGAGAAATCCAAGCACCTTATTGGCTTTGGATACAATAGTTTGAATATGTGTAGTCCAGCGTAAGTTATTTGTGATGTCAATTCCTAGGTATGGGATGTGTGTTACCGACTTAAGGTTTTCCCCTAGCATGGTGTAATTGTGCATGATAGGGATTTACCTTTGTGAATATTTAGCACATAGCATTTTGATGGATGGAATTTCATTTGCCATGTTGATGCCCAGGAGACCAGTTTATCGAGATTCTCCTGTAGTGTTAATGCATCTTGCTTGCTTTCGACTGTCATGAATAAAAGGCTGTCATCGGCAAAAAGCTTAAGACTGGCTGAGGATGATAGGTTATTGCCCATATCATTGATATAAACAAGGAAACAGAGTGGTCCAAGAACTGTTCCTTGAGGAACTCCTGATTTTACTGGAGTTTTTGAACTTGATTCACCATCGAGCACTACCTGTTGTGATCTTCCCACAAGCCAGGATCTGAACCAGTTCAAGTTATTATTGCGAATTCCATAATAGTCGAGTTTGAGCAAGAGGCGTTCGTGAGCCACCGTGTCAAACGCTTTGGAAAAGTCTAATACCAACATGTCTGTTTGTTTATTGTTGTCGAGGGCCCGAGCTATATTCTCTATTGTATTGACAAGTTGTGTTTCACATGAGTGCTTTGACCTGAATCCATGTTGGAATTTTACTAGAATTTCATAGAGGTCAAAGTGGGCCATAACATGATGGAATATAATATGTTCCATTATTTTACATGGAACTGACGTCAGAGATACAGGCCTGTAATTCACAGCCTCATCTCTTCGTCCCTTTTTATAGATAGCAGTAACATTGGCATGTTTCCAGTCCAAAGGCACTAAGCCTTCATCGATAGACTGTTGAAAAATTATTTGAAGGAATGGTGATATGCTGTCACTGCATTCCTTCAGGACCCTAGTCGGAATAAGATCGGGTCCAGTGGCTTTTGATGGATTCAGGCCAGTTAGCAATTTGTGAATTCCTTTTGTCGAAATTTTGATATTTGGCATTTCAGGAATTTGACTAGGTACCATTGTCGGTAGAGTGGCATCCTCATCTGTGAATACAGAATTGTATTGGTCATTGAGGATGTTTGCTTTCTGGGCGGCGTCTGTTATTTCGTCGCCATCTTTGTTACGCAGCACGCTGATACCTGATGCATCTTTGCGTTTAGACTTTATGTAGCTCCAGAAGCGTTTGGTAATACCTTTGTGCTGAACATTCTCATTTATGATTTCGCTTTCATCAATGTCAAGCAGATCGTTGATGTAGCGCTGATGTTCTTTACGAATTTCACTATGGATTAATTTCCGTAGTGATTTGTACTTATGCCAATGATGAGGTTCATTTGAACGTTTGGCAACATTATATCGTCTTTGTTTCTGTCGGATCATTCTCAGTATCCTGGTGGTAATCCAGGGTACTTTGAATTTCCCACTTAGAGTTTTACTTGGAATATGCTCATTGATTGACGATATTAATGTAGATTTGAAGGAGGACCAGTTGTCTTCAACTGATCTACTTTCACAGTTCTCTTTGAATTCGCTGAACTTAGATCGTAGAGCCTCTTTAAGTCCAGTCCATTCTGCCCGCTTGTATATGTGGACCTTACGAGGCTTCTTTTTCTGAATTTTCATTTTTAGGTTTATATCACATAGGACTGCCTCGTGATCACTCATGCCCGGAACCACCGAGATTCTTTCTGCGAGGTTTGGGCATGTAGTGAATACTAAGTCAAGGATGTTATTTTGTCTAGTTGGTTCCTTGACTAGTTGGGTTAGGCCATGATCATCAGTTATTGTAATCATCTTCTCATTAAGAGCATTAGAATATTGAGAATTAGGCCTTATAGTTCCATTCTCCCAATCGATGTCTGGTAAGTTGAAGTCACCACATAGGAAGATGTTTTTCATATGTGTATTACCATTAGCATAAAGGGGGGGGGGGGGGGGGGGGGGGGTGGGGGTTATAATATTTCCCGCCCAAAAATATTTCGGAGACATACTGGTGGATTTGGTGAAATTTAGCCAAATTTGCTAAAATGTTGCCAAAGTTGCTATGATTTTACCCTTTGCTCAAATTTTGCAAAAGGATGAGGGAAATAATCGCAACAGATTTCGGCCAGTAATATGTTTGATTTGGCTATTTTCTGAGGATTTAAACAGGTACATATGTTAGGCCAATCACGGACCTGAAGAAAAGTCCGTTGGCCAATGCATCATCTCCAAGGAAAGCCCTCACAGAGATGATAAAATAAGTTCGACTTTGAGACAGGGAAGATGCAAACGGGGTCCGCGCGTTATACCGATTCAAACCAATCGTACCGACGCGCATTGTACCGAAAGGCCGTTGTACCGAATGCCATAATACTGACGCACATTGTACCGAAAGGCATTATACCGAATGCCATAATACTGACGCACATTGTACCGCAAAGGCAATATACCGAATTAATGTCATAATACTGATGTGCCATGATAAGTTTTCCTGTGTGACTCGAAAGCGATATAGAAACATGTTTAGATTTTCAAACGTATTTAATTAGTTCTTCTTATTTTTACTTATATAATAATATATACGCCTAATTATTGCCACAAGACGTCTGATTTATCAATATCGAAAATGGAAGCCATTTCTTAAAAAAAAGTTCCCACATTTATCCCATGTTGTCCAGCCTGAGTCAAAGGATCCATTCCCGAGAGCAGAGAATCAGAGTAAAAGTAAAAATATAATTGACTGAATTAAAATTAAATTAAACTTATGTAAAAGATGAATATTTTCGCGGACTGAAAACATTGACATGATTTGAAATAGCTAGCCACATTATCAGCATTATCAGCACACCATTGGAAAGCTTATTTTGACTTCTTTAATCTCATTTATAACAGAATCGTTCAGGGCCTGGGAAATTAAGTGTTACGCATAGAGCTTTAATAATAAATGAAACGAAATATTTTTGCCGGCTAACAACATTGCGTACAGGTTTTGTAATGATATGAAATAGCTGTTCCCACATTTTGCACATCATTGGAATACCTCCGGTATCTATTTCGTTCCCAGATGCTTGACTTGGGCTGTGATTTTGCGGGAGTGTTTGATTGCTTTTTTAAGTTTCCCTTGAACATGATGAATCCTATATTCTGCTGCTATTTTTGCCTGGACTTACTAAACGTGAATGATTTTCAATAATCTTGATATCTGCCATCTTCTGTTGATGGTTTTCGGTATAGCGCGCATTGGTATATTGGTTTTCGGTATATTGCACGTCGGTATAATACTTTTCGGTACAATGCCCGTCGTTATAATGAGGTGATCACATGCAAACAACCCACCCAAATGTTTTTTCTGAAATGTTGTCCTGATTTTCAACCCTTTCCACCCCTGTTTTTTCAATTTAGTCAGGTTGCATCAATATGTTGCGTTTTGACATACAGCAATTAACCCCTTTAAAGGAATAAGTAATTCCTTCAGGGGTTTTAAAGATATCCATTATGGGTGTCGAGTGACCAAAATTAGCTGAAAGCAATGGATTGCATGAGTTTTCCCTATGGGAAAATAACATTGGAAATATTGTTTTCCACTTTATCTAAAAGAGGAATTACTTATTCCTTTAAAGGGGTTAACTGTGTCTTAAAATGCAATATATTGATGCAGCAAAAATTGAAAAAGCAGAGGTGGAAGGGGTTGAAAATCACGACACCATTTCAGAAAAAACGGGAAAAACATACGTATGATCGGGCCCCTGTTATCTCCTAAAAAATGTGGACCTACCTCTTTTGCTTTCTTGAAGGAAAATCAGCTCTTCCCAACATAAATTGGGCAATTTAGATAAACAATGGCATCAGCACTGGGCATTTTTTGCAAAATGGGGGCGATTTTTTTCATCCACTCAAGCACGGATGTTTTTATGCCTCTCCCTTCAGTCTGGGTTTCCAGGATCATCCTTTGTGTTTTGTTAGAATTTGATGGGCCTAGTTTTTCAAAATTTGGGCTGAATTTTCTGTTTTAGGAGCAGACATCTGTCTGACTTGAATGTGGGTCCTGGTGTGGCACTCCCCACATCTTAGCTTCCAGTTCCACCATTGCATTTTGCATTACTGAGGGGGTTGATTTAGGTTAGCCGATGGGAAAGAATTATTTTTGGGCGGGGCGGGGGGTGGGGGTCGAGTCATTACAAAAAGTTGGCGGGCATTATATTTCTTTGGAAGAATCAAATACGGTATCAAATTGCATTTCGTAACCCGGGGTTCGTAACCAGCTTGGACTTTTCCCGGGAATTTAATATCTGCAACGGAAGCACTCTAAACGAAATGTTAAAAACTGGCGAATCCCTAAATAGCGCATGACTCATTTCTCGTGACGTATGACGTCAGAAGGCCATTTGTAATATATCAGAAAAGCTGATATTTTCTCTCTAAGTTTCGTTTATAACTCAGCTGGAAGACAGACAATATTTACAAAAGTAAGTATACTTGATCATGAATTCTTGATTATCATTTTTAAGTTTTGTTGAAACTATTTTCTTCTGTTGAATATCTCAATTGACTGGGGAATCCCTAGATTTGCCAATGAAAATAAATAAAAAAATGATAATTTTTCACATTTTGATTCGGAGAAACAGTTACACTGAAGAACTCAAAGATACAGATCTAAGCCAGAATATTTGTAGTTATATCAGCTCAACAAATATACCCAATCCAATATTAGACTGGTGAATTTCTAGAATTCCGGAGTAGGAGTTCTACTGTCATACAGTGCGAGTCAAGTTGATTGTTTGTCAAATAAACCCCAGAACACAGTCAGAGAGAATGTTTCTGGCAAAAGGAGATTCTTGGATTTCAAAATATTGATATAATTCCAGTTCGAAGAATGTATTTGATGTCCGTGCCCCAGAAAATAAGATTTTGACAAAAATCTATATATAAATTACTTACCTATCAGTATTTAGCATGTATTCATTCAACATATTCTCCTACAACTTGACCGTATCAGCACTATCAACATCAACACTATCGAACATGTAAGAAATTAGTTCCAGATCTTATAGCATTTTCATTGTGAATTCAGTTTAATCAACATTTAATCACTTGGTTTGATATATATTACTAACTTAATTACTTCTCAATATACATTCAACTGCAAAATATATTGAAAATGTGTTGTCAAAATCTTATTTATTTAGGTTAAGGTACAGCTGGAAAATAACATTTTTGGTAAAAAATTGCTGTACCTGCACATGTTATTTTCTGGTACAAAATAAAGTATGAAGGCATGCGTCAATTTCTTTGCTTTTTTCAGGAAAGTATCATTACATTGTCTTCTTTTAGAATATCTGGTAGGAGTTCAATGGGAACTCCAGGAAATTCTTATATTTCACACTTTCTATTTTTCCAAATTTTCTTTCAAAGTTTCCAGACAACTACCATTGACCTGTTTCCAGGTTTACTAAAAGTAGACAGTGTACTGATACTTTCCTGAAAAAAGCAAGGAAATACACACATGCCTTCATACTTAATTTTGTACCAGAAAATAGCATGTGCAGGTATAGCATTTTTTTTACCAAAATGTTACTTTCCAGCTGAGCCTTAAAGCAAAATCTAATTGACTCAGACTGTAACTTTTAAATCCAATTCAAAACTTCAAATACCATCACTTATCATCGCTACCCTCTGAGGAAGTATAAGTTGTCACTCGTTGTTTTTTTGTGACTGAATGAAATTCCCTACAAAATTTCCCTGCTCAACACCCTAATTTCCTGATTTTGAGAGAAATGTTTTAAGAAACAATAAAAGGTCAATGAGGCAAATTAGAAGGTGGTTTCTACAGAAGTTAATTTTGAACTGTGAAATGCAGACATGACTTCACAAAAGTCGAGTGACATTCGCTATCTGCATTTCCTCCAAGCTTAACCCTTTCACCAGGATAGGCTCCATATGGAGGCCTATTGTGTAATCCTTTTTGGCACCATTATTTTTATTTATATACATCAATGAAATGACAATATCTCCCGTTCTATTCAGTATTTTTACACCACATTTTGACAAATTGTTCTAATACGATAATCCTTGTAGAAATTGTATTTCAGTGATACAATTCAAGGTATAGGTCCTGGGGTGGAGGTAATTTGCAGTTTTCCCCTGAAAACTGCTCTTACTTATCCATCACAAGGGCCAACTTTTTCCTCTTATATTCACGTCGAGAAAGGGTTAAATAAAACAATTATATATGAACTAATTACCTATGGGATGTTTTATTGTACATTTGAATTGATTTTATCTATGATATTATATGATTTGCTGTCATGTTTCCATGTCTCAGTGAATAGTTTAGCTTTTTTTTTACAAAAGTCACACAAAAGTTTTTAGGAATGGAATATGAATTTTATTCTGAGTGAAAATATGATATTGGCCAAAAAATATCATATTGACTGAAGGTGATAGCCTGAGTGTTAATATGATATTTTCCCTCGGAATAAAATTCATATTCTATCCTTCCCATTAAATAACCTCTTTTTTATGTCCCCACCACATAGTGTGGGGCCATATTGTCGGCCTAGGCGCGTCCGTCTCATGTCGCCACCACATAGTGTGGGGCCATATTGTCGGCCTAGGCGCGTCCGTCTGTCTGTCCGTCCGTCCGTCCGTCCGTCCGTCCGTCTGTCCGTCCGTCTGTCCGTACGTCCGGGAGTTTTCTCCAAAACCGCTACAGATATCACCTTCAAATTTTCAGGGATTACTTATGAGTGCATACAGATGTGGATGAAAAATTTTTAACTCGATACCTACTTCCTGTCTGCCATTTTGAAGTCAAATGCTAAAATCCTTGTCTGCAAACTTTAAGAAAAACGGCTTCACAGTTGCTTTTAAAACTTTAACATCTTGTTCAGCTCACTTCATTCTAGATCTGATTAGGTTTTGGACCTGTTAGCTCAGTCATGTCAGCCATTTTGAATGTCTTAAGAAGATTAGCGCACGATAATACTTTGTATCATATTGAATGGTGTTTTTGAGTTTTCATACTTTAACTATTTAGTAGCTTTATAAATAATTTCAGATCTACTTTGTTGTAAAAGCCTATGTTATTGTTAACAGTAGTAATATGTGATAATTTTGTAAGAAGAAATCAGCAAAAACACATAATCACTTTTTTATTGTCGGCCATTTTGGATTTTTCCGTCCTAAAATCTTGTCTGTGAAGTCTTGTCTACGTGTTTTCAGGTGAACCGTTTGGTGGATCAATTTCAAATTTTCAGGGATGATTCTTAGTATAAAAATCTAGATCTGATTTGTTTTTTGGCATTCTGGGTAAATGTCAAGGCAGCCATTTTGGATTTTCCGTCCTAAAATCTTGTCTGTAAAGTGTTGTCTACGCGTTTTCAGGTGAACGGTTTGGTAGATCAATTTCAAATTTTCAGAGATGATTCTTAGTATGAAAATGTAGAACTGATTAGCTTTTTGGCATTCTGGGCAAATGTCAAGGCAGCCATTTTGGATTTTCTGTCCTAAAATCTTGTCTGTAAAGTCTTGTCTATGCATTTCGGGGTGAACCGTTCTGTAGATCAATTTTAAATTTTTAGGGATGATTCTTAGTATGAAAATCTAGATCTGATTAGTTTTTTGGCATTCTGGATAAATGTCAAGGCAGCCATTTTGGATTTTCCGTCTTAAAATCTTGCCTGTAAAGTCTTGTCTACGCGTTTTTAGGTGAACCGTTTGGTAGATCAATTTCAAATTTTCAGGGATGATTCTTAGTGTGAAAATCTACATCTGATTAGTTTTTTGGCATTCTGTGTAAATGTCATGGCAGCCATTTTGGATTTTCTGTCCTAAAATCTTGTCTGTAAAGTCTTGTCTACGCGTTTTCAGGTGAACCATTTGGTAGATCAATGTCATATTTTCAGGGATGATTCTTAGTATGAAAATCTAGGAACAGATTTGTTTTTTGACATTCTGGGTAAATGTCAAGGCAGCCATTTTGGATTTTCCATCCTAAAATCTTGTCTGTAAAGTCTTGTTTACATGTTTTCTAGTTAACTGTGTGACGGATCAATTAAAATTGTGTTGGTAAAGTCTTGTCTACTCATTTTCAGGATAACCATTTCATGGGATCACCCATTGGTGGGGACATTTTGTACACATTTGTGTTCTTGTATATCTTTATCGGGAGGGGCCTTGGATTCTGCTAAGAGATGAATAGAGCAAGTTTTAACATATATAAGTAAAGCTCTGTAAAATTATGAAGAACATTGAGACAATAGACTTGATGCGAGTACAAATAATCTTGATTTACGTCATTAAAAATTCAGTCAACGTGTTATCATATTTGAAATCTACATGTAAAATTGCATATAGAAATGTGGTTTTAAAAAGTGTTTATCAACTCTGAAAGTTTATTTTTCTTTGAAAATGTGACGTCTAGGACGGGGAGGTTCCCCATAGACCTCATGTTATGGAATCATAAAAAGTGAAAAATCTTTTCTTATATTCGACAGATGATATTTATGGACATATCTTAATTTGTAACTATTAGATACATAAGGGTAATATGAAAATTGAACCACTAAAACTGATGAATATTCAAATTTAAGGGAACTTTCTCATACCCTGCCATGTTATCTACCCTGAATGAGCCACCTGGTGGTGAAAATGGTAACTACCTACTCCATCTGAGTAATTGATTTAGAACATCACTGCATCAGATTATTCCAAACTTAGGAAATATTTTGCTAATCACAAGTATAAACTTGTTCTAAAGATATTTTCCACTTGTATAAATATTGTTTCCCTTTAGATAAGTATATCTTGTGTTCTAAGTGGTCCGTTCTTAGTGTTTCTATCAAAGATTAAGCAAAAAGAGCAGGAAACATTTTTGATTAAACAGAGTACATATATAGAAGTACCAATTTGTAAATATAAATCTTAAGAGTCAGTTTAGTTGAATGTATCTTGGGACGACATCATGAACCTTATATTGCAAATATAAATTCATTTTAGCATTGATTTATTTTTACATTTCTAGGTAGGGACTAAAACATAACCAACAATATGTCGCTGTATCCCACACTAGAGGATATGAAGGTTGACCAGATGCAACAGGTATGTTATTTCATAGTAGGGGTATTATCCTATAGCAAGGGACAGGCGTATCCTATACAAGTAGCAGGGGCATTATCCTATAGCATGGTGTTATCCTATAGAAAGGTCGTTAGCTTATATAGGGAGATATCACAAAGAAATCCTTGTGTTACTTTTACAGTGAATTTTAATATACATTATATATAAGTGTATATGTTTGAATGTCTAAATTGTACAATGAATGCAGGATGTAAGGTAGTCATACAGAAGTGAATCATACAAAGTCCCAGTACTAGCATTATGTAAAATCAGAGTTATTTGTTTATTTACTATATATCTGTAGTCATTTTATGTGTGATAAGAATGAAGGAGGTCAAACCTTGAGTGTGACTATGTATCACTGTTTACTTCAATGATTCATTTGTTGATATCTGCTTTAGTGTGGATTCACCTATATTGATTTCTTTGGTTGTTGATAAAAGTAAAAAATAGTATTTTATTTTCAGGCCCAGGTTCAATACCAGCAAGCAGCCCAGCAGCCTGCTGTGCAGTACCCTGGAGAGGCAGCCCAGACCTACCCCACAGCTGCTGCTGCTGGGGGGTCATCTTTATACCCCTCTCTCCAGGACTACATGGGTCTCTCCCTCAGCCCTGAATGTATCGCACAGAACATGCCTGTTGTCGCTGCCAATCAGAATCAGCAGGTAGCTGTTCCTGCGTATGGACGTGTAACGGGAGCTGGTCAGATGCAAGTTGCGCCAGTAACAGGCAATGACGTTGGATTGCGACGTGCGGAAATTAAGGATGGGATTAGATTTGTGCAGCTGTGTAAAGATCAGAGTGGAATGATTGGACTAAGAGTCCGACATGTTAACAAAGTAGGTGGCATACATTTCATCTTTTCTTGTAAAATATACTTCATCATGATATACAACTGTACTTTTATGAAGCCTCATTCAAACTACAATGACACCAATTTAGTGTTAATATGTGATATCACAATATAAAATTTCTAATGAAAATGGAATTGTCAGTCCAAATAGTGTAAACATACTGAGAAATTAATACAACTTAGATTGATCATGATAGAAGCTAATTTGTTATAGTGAAATTGATAAATACCTTTAATTTTATTTTGTGATTTCAGGGTTTATTTGTTGCCTTTGTGCATGCTAATTCTCCAGCCTCTCTGGCTGGTGTAAGGTTTGGGGATCAAATCCTGCAGATCAATGACCAGACAGTGGCAGGCTGGGACAATGATAAGGCACACAAGTATCTGAAGAAATGTGAACCACAGAAAATCACCATGGCAATTAGAGACAGGTACAGTAGAACCTGTATATCTGAACACCTGGCTAACCCGAACAACTTCCTATCTGAACACTTTTTTCAGTCCCATTTTTTCTTTGCATTGTAATGAGAACACCTCTCAATTTGAACAGCGAACAGACAGAATTAACCTCCTAATCTTTTACACTGGATTAATATGTGATTGTTATAAAATATGTCAAAATGTATTCAGATATTACAATATAACCACCTTGTTTTTAGACCATTTGAGCGAACCATCACAATGCATAAAGATAGTGGTGGCACCATTGGATTTGTATTCAAGAATGGTAAAATCAACTCCTTGGTCAAGGATTCGTCTGCCGCTAGGAATGGCGTCCTAACTGAGCACCATCTTGTGGAGGTGAATGGACAGAACTGTGTTGGACTTAAGGTATGTTTAAGTTTTCCAAGTTATATACAGGGTGGCCCAAGAAAACAGAACCCAGGAATCTGTTCTTCTGAATAAATAGTTCTGCTTTTTTGGATCATCCGGTAGAACATGGATAATTCACCATGTAATTACATTTTGATTTTTAAATGTTAAATTAATTTATCCATTTAACTGCTAATGATTTTGAAAGTAAATCCAGTTATTTACTACTTTAATCTACAAAAATCAAATGACATGCTATAATTAAGAGTACCCCTACAATTACATTTTATGAAATGTTAGGAAGTGAATACTAATTAAAATTTATCATTTAGACTTTCATGTGAAAAACTGTTAATTTTTTGTCACAATGCAAGAAATGAGATATTGTTATAGTTTCCAAATTTTTTGTGACGGCGTCTAGCAGAGATCACGATAGTTGAAAAAACTTGTTAGCCATTGTGGCTAAATCTTCCAAAATTTTTTTAGCCAACTAAAATATGAATTAGCCATTTTGAAAAACCGTAAAAAGGGAATTCGCAATAGAGGTGTCACGGTCCAAGAAAATTTCCGTACGGTACGGAACGGTACAAATGGTCTCGACACGGTACTTTCGGGACGGGACGGGACAGAACATTAAAAATGGTGCAATGTCTGATGATGACAGTTTCACTTTCAGTTTCACTTTTCAAAATCTTATTCAGAAATAAAAAAACGTCAATTAAAATTGAATGTAAAGCATCTGCCGCGAATGTGATCGGCATTTCACATAGTCTGCATGGTGTGATATCACCAATTCGTTTACCTTGTCATATCGGAGTCCCAAAATACTTCCAAACTGGCGACTTTTTCGACTTAGATGCCGGCTCGATTTTTCAATTTCTTTCCTACATCCTGCATACTGATGATGCACTCGATTTGCGAACGACGATGAAGAAATTTACGAACAAGTATTACCATCTACCTGAAATCGCGGGTCCGTTAATAACACTTTTCAATGCAAAGAAGTGTAATCTAGGTACGAGGTAAGTGAAAATATTTAATTTTTCAGAACGAAATCGGAGGTGTTCCTCGCTATTTATACACGTTTTTATGCATTTTAGGGAAGGAATCTATGAACCGATATTAACCCTTTCTGTCCCATGTCCCGAACTCGAAATTTGGTCCAATATCGGGAAACCGTGACACCTCTAATTCGCCATAACTGCGAAATACCTTTACATATTTTTCGCCACCTCTTTCGAAAATTCGCGATTGGCGAATGGCGAACCTCTACCGTGATCTCTGGCGTCTAGTGGTCGGCGTTTGGTATTAGGCATCTTTAACAAAAACAAATGTCAGGTGTTCGGTGTTGACATTTTGCATGTAAATGCCTTGATTTTATGATACAATATTTTTTACTTGTTGTATCAAACAATAAAGATTTTTATTCTGTAGTCCAATAGCAGCTTTTTACTGCTCAAAAATCAATGGTTAAACTAACTGTATTGTATATGGAGTATTAATTTTCTGCATGCAGGATGAAGACACGCGTGAACTGATCCGTTCTGGTCCAGAGTGTATCACTATCACAATCATGCCAAGTTTCATATATGAGCACATCATCAAATGGTAAGTTCCATCAAACAAAATTGTTAATTAAAAAAATTAATTTTTATATCATAACTTATCTTTTGAGAGATACATGTACTAACTTGGACTCTTTAATGGTCTTGCAGTCTTTGAATACAGTAAAATGAAAGTTTAGTAGGGCAGTAGCAGTTTTAATAATATTGTCTTTCGTCAAACAAAATTGTAAATCTTTTGAGAGATACATGTACTAACTTAGACTCTATAATGGTCTTGCAGTACAAGTCACTGCAGTCTTTGAATACAATAAAATGAAAGTTTAGTAGGGCAGTAGCAGTGAATTCATCAAATATTGTCTTCATTTCGTCATTAAATCATTGTCCAATCAGTATTCATGATTCTAACATGATACATGACCTCACACTGCTTGAACAATTGATTTACTGGTCTATATTGGAGTATGTATGACCGCTAAAATTCATAAATGCAAATAGTCGTGTTTCTTGTCTGTGTATCATATTAGAATCGTAACAAAGAACTTGATTTTATGATTTATGTCAAATATATGACCTCAAATTTTATTCTGTTCATTGTTAAAAGACCGAAATCATGTCTTTATTCCTTAAATATATTCATGAAGCTAATAATTGTTATAAAACCATATTATATTTGAACATTCATTTCATTAATATTTTTATATTCCTAGCCACAAACTTGTGTCTGGACTATGCATCTGAATACATCTGCATCTATTTTCAGTATGGGGAACAGTCTAGTTAAGAAGTTGATGGATCACTCAATCCCTGACTGGTAAACGACCAAACACTCTTATATTCAACAGTAAAACAATCCATACTTTGTAAATGGCCAAATCCAATTTGAAAAACATCACTTATAAGACTACAACTAACCAATCAAGTGACTCAGATGTTTCATGGATATAGCAATGAAGAATTTTGAAATATCTCGGATATTTTTTATACAAAATGCCAAAATAAAAGTTATGACTGGAAATAAAATCAAACATCTGAAAATGATATGATATCATGTATCTGATATGATCTCCAGATATGTGATATTCATGATTAAGTTATGCAGTATATTATGTCAGACTGGAGGTAGGATCACTATTAGCTGTTCCTATATGTAACCACATTTAAAATGCTTTGTACATAAAAGTGAAACCAAGAGAAGTATATCCAAGGTATAGATAACCCTGTGTATGTGAACACCTCAGAAACCAAGGAACACCCTGAAATGTGAATCTGTTTTTGTTCATCTACTTTTGCAGTGTTTGTTCCATCAAAACCTATTCATGTGAATGCCTGCAAGTGTTAAGAGTTCTGGCCAGCTACTGTATTGTTTATTTAGACAGGTTTTACTGTATATTTATTTAATGACTGAAAGCAAATGAATGTAATTATTATGCACTAGAAAAAATGAATGAACCAAATAATTATAATATGTAAAATTAATTTGTGAAAGCTCATTGTCATTCTGTATTAGAATTTACGTTGTGTTGAGATATTTACTTTCCTAATTTATGTTCTTAGGCCAGGGTAGTCAATAAAGTGTTAAACACATCATGATTTTTTAACATTTTCTACTTTTTCATTCAACCTTGATCCAGTCTTGTTTACTCATTTTTTTCTCTGAAAAAATAGATTTCTGATTCTGTCGATAAACGTTTTGAGTAGAGTTTTGGAGAAAAGTAGAACAGAGTTAGGGACACACATGAATGTTTAACGATTTGTTAACTTACTCAGGCCTTACACTTTAGGTACTGCTTCTACTTAGGAAGAAGACATTAAACTATTTGAAAATATTTGTAGGAACTACCATACATGTAGACATTGCTAAATAATTATCTTGTGTAGTCCTTCCAGAGGTCTACAAATATATATATATATTTTTACTTAAAAATTGTTTTTACTTTTTTGTGTATATTATACATGTATTGTCTTTATGTAAATATAAATTCAGAATTTAACACAAGTGATTTTGTTGTTTTCCATCAGATCTTTATTGAGAAACTAGTCTTATGTGTGCCTCAATATAATACAATACAATACAATACACAGTACAGACAGGATTTAAACATTGTCTAATATGCAGAAATCCATGATAATTTTAAGAACTATTATATACAACATGTTGGTTATAGTAGATACCAGTGAAACAAATGCTTGTCACTTATGGCATTGTGTAGAGAAAATATTGGATATTTTGTTGTGCAATATGAATGCCAATAATATCACATACTACACATGCACATGTAAGCAATCAAGCACAATTATTTTTACAAATAATATGGAGAATGGTGTTTCCATAAATAATGTATAATAATTAGATAATTTACATACAGTACAAAAAAATTGATGCAAATATTACAAAATATGCATATGGAACATTAAAGGAAATTTTATAAATTCAGTTTACAAAAGCAATTGGAGAAAGGGGAACTTGTTTTCTTGGTACAAATGGATTAAGGAAAATCTTGGGAATTACATGTTAGTCTCAAAGAATGCAAAATCAAAGTTACCATGAGAAAATAAATTACATAAAAAACTTCATCTACTCATTGCTTTGTCCTGGTGTATCATAAATCGTAAGATGGCGTTTCAACTAAAAACATGTTAAACATGTCCGTCCTCAAAGCTGATTGTAAATGTCATTATGTAACATGTATAAGCCATCTACCAAAGATCTCTAATGAAAGAATTTCATATTTGTAGAAGAAGGATGTAATTTGATGAAGAGATCTCTTTCTGAATCAATTTTGTGACAGCTGCATAAAAAATATCACATAATTGTTTTTCAATGCTATATCATGATAGTATGGCAAATAAAAATACATAAATAGCAATTTATTCAGAAACATTTGCACATACATGTAGTTACAATTCATTGCACAAGTCATTTCATCACATTCATGAAATAATATTCGACCAGTTCATATTATATATAAATAAAAAAGCAAGTTTAATTCATATCTTGAGAGAAAAGAACGATAATACCAACACCCATTAGCCTAATGCTCTATTCTTGCATAATGTCATTATTATACACAAAAGTAATTTCCTTGACATTTCCCCATGCTTACATCAATTACAAATTCTCATAATAGTGAGCTATAGACAAGTCTACACCTCCATGCTTACATCAATAACAAATTCTCATATTAGAGTAGATATTCCAAATCATTTTTGGTGCATTAATCAAACTTAGAAATAAGCAAATAGGACAACTGTGCAATGTCCTATGAAAAATGTATCCATATTTTAGATGCAAAAAGATGAATGTATTTTTCTATCATTTATTGCACTGTGTCTTGTGATTACTTATTTTTTAGTTTCGATTGACACGGAAAAAGTGATTGGGACACATGTCAGCCTTCATCCTTACAACAATAACAAATCTCATATTAGCGTACAATAGCAACAGTTAAGTCTACAACCCCATGCTTACACCAATAACAAATTCTCATAATTGAGTTATAGACACATATCACCATACATTTCATTTGCATATTTCTCATAAACAGTCTTGTCGTATAATCTCGTTTGGTGTTGGTGGTTATGCTGACGTTGCTTTTCCATCTGGATTCTCGAGGTAGAAGTAAATGTGGTCAAAGCCAGCTTCTCGAGCTAAATCTGCCGCAGTTTGGCCATCCTGTAAGAAAATGCATCTTATAGTTTAAAATTCATTATTATTCAGTCATACCTAGCACTTGGGTGATGTTATGCCTTAAAACCAAACTTCCAAGACAGGTAGCACAAATAACTACCATGGAAATTACAGGTAGCATAAACAGCGATACCATTGGGAATTACAGGTAGTTATTCTTTGAAGTCTGGTAGCAAATATAGTAAAATCTGTGTTATTGAATATTTTTTGCCAGGAATTTAGTGTTGGTAGGTGTTCACTACAGAGAGGGAAATTTATAGAGAGATCTAAGAGTATGTGTGGAGGAAGGGTGTCCACAAGAGAGAGATATTTGCAAGAGATAAGTGTTCACTAAGACAGGTTTTACTGTTCTTTTGGTGAGTTTCAAGCCTTGATTAATTGTAACTAATATCCATTCAATCAATGAATAGAAGTGCAAAAATAGTGAGAACAAATGCCTACAACTGACAGAAACAAACATATACAGAATCATATACTGCATTATATGAATCTATTCAGCAATCTCAAGCTTTTCTCCTTTAGTGGCTAATTAGCGTTTTTGTCTAAACTCATAATATATAATTTCTCATAAATATCTAGTTTCTTAAAGCAATAGGAATAGCTTTAAGAAAACCATCTGAGTCGTGTAAAGCAAAGAGAATGAATTGTAATTAAAGCCAGTCAAATCCAACTGTCACGTTTGCTTACTTTATTTTTGATTTTGATATCTGTCCCTCCTTCTACCAGTTCTCTTACAACATGTAGATGTCCAAACAGGGCTGAGGCGTGGAGAGCAGTTTCCCCATTCTAAAAAACAAGATTTTACAGGATTATACTGTAGATTGTATATTCATTTAAGTATTATACTCATTTATTTAGTTTACTGTCACCACAAATATGTCACCACCATGACAAGATGCTGACATATTGTGTTTTTTTTTGTCTTTTTGTGACTGGCTTATGATGTCAGTATCCTTAATAAGTGTTGTTATTATATCTCAATGTGTTATGTTTGCCTTTTGAACATCGGGAATATCACTTGTGAATAAACACAATGTCACACATCCCCCTCAACAGTACAAAATTTTCAAAAATTCTTGATTTACTGTACATATAAAAAAACATAGAATCACACTGATCAGTGTATTATAGGCAGCATCATTAGGTTTTATCAAATTAACCTCAAAAACTATTTAGAGTTTTATAAAAATTTTATATATGTATTTTTGTTCAGATCTCTTTGTTTCGTTGAATATTCATAAAGTATGAGTCAATATGGCTCGGAATAATATGAGACAGAAAGATACTGAATAACACGAGTGTTAAGCCACGATGATACCATGAGCATATGCTTTGAGGATCCGCATTGTTTGAACCTACCGCCGAGCTCACTTATACATCAAGACCCGTTACACAGTCATGATACCGCCGAGCAAGCTCATTGTATCATCGGGTCTGCTTTACCCCCGTGAGGTGCAATAATCCAAAATTACGTTAACTTTACAGCTCTTTACCACTGGTGTTAAGCCACGATAATACCATGAACACATGCTTTGAGGATCCGCATTGTTTGAACCTACCGCCGAGCTCACTTATACATCAAGACCCGTTACACAGTCATGATACTGCCGAGCAAGCTCATTGAATCATCGGGTCTGCTTTACCCCCGTGAATAAGGTTCAATTTTTATTGTATATCGCAAAATAAGATAAAGATTGTCCAACTGGATCTCACATTTTTGGGACACTCTGTTGTTGAAAGTTTTTTAAGCATTTGTAATTTCGAAAGTATCCAATTGTTTCACATGGAGTTTTTACATGTCATATTATTGTCTTAAAATTGTCTTAACTTGTAAGAAAATTGAAGATGTAAATTCTGAAATATTAAAATCAAATTGTCTAATAGAGTAAAGAGGCAGTTGTTAATTACCTGTAGCACCTGTAGAGATGGTTTATATTTTAGTAATGCTTTCACAACATCTCCATGTCCCTTGTGGCTGGCCTTGAATAGTGGAGTAGCCCCATCCTGAAAATAAAAGTCAACAATGTTAGGTTACTTTAATAAAAACATTTCCCCATAGCAATTAATGTTAACAAAATTAGGTTATTCTAAAGATATTTCCTATTTCCATGCTGAAGATAGCCATAACTATAAAAGTAAACTATGTTAGATTATTTTAAAAATATCCCCATCCTGAAAACAGCCATAACAATAAAAGTAAACACTTATAATTATTTCCAATTTTTCAAGTTTTCTGACCATAAGTTGAGATGACAAATTCTGAGAGTAAAAGGGCCCTAGTTCCATGTGAATTCTCCACAGTGAGAATCCAATGCTGTTTTAATTGAAAAACTAGACAATATGACAAACGTGACAAAATAATATTCATAGAAGAAGTGTTATCTAATAATCATAAGTTAATATCATCATTTTATAAAGTGACAAAAATCATCAATTTTTCCATTCTCTCTCTCTCTCTCCTTCTACAGTAAACAACATTAATAACCTGTAAAATAATATGTGAAAATAAAGATTTATTAAAAAAAAGAAAAAAAGAATAAGATCACTGCTTGCTGGGGATTGGCATTTGAATGAGGTAAGGATTGGCAGAATAAGTCAAAAACTCCTACATATACTCTTTCAAATCCTATACATGCTACTAACAAAATGCAGTATTCCTAAACCAGTGAACACAGCATTTACATTTAATAGTTCATTCAACTCCAGAATAAATATTTACATTCACAAAAAGCATTGTGTGCAATCTTTTATCAGTTTTGCCTAGGCAATTTAAAGTTAATTACATGTTTATTGTCCTGACGAAGGGCCGAATATTAGGAGGGTTGGAGGTGAAAAACAAACAAATTAAAATAAACTTTATTTATTATATTGCTATTGAGATTTTATATTATTCGATAGTAAAAATATCAGAACACAAAAGAGAGAGATTGATAAAGTGACACAACCATGGAGTTTACATGAACTTTTTAATGTAGAAGCAGAAGCTGAAATTCAGACACATGACATTTTCTATCTTAGAACTCCCTTCACTGTAATATATATACATGTACATATGATCTTAGATCACAATTTTGAAGTTTCTTTTGTCATTTCAATTCATTACACGTAAATATACACTAAACATTTTTGTTTGTTTTCTGAAAATTTGCTTAAGCATAGAAGTGAGGTACTACTAAACTATATTAAAATTTGAATGGCCTTATTTATGCCAAACAAAAATTTCTATAAGCAAATATGAGTTGTTTGAAAGAGTATTTTATTCTGATAGTCGATTCAAAGCTCACTATTTGATCAAAGCCAAATAAAGAGGACAGGTATGTATTTTTGCTCAACATGTTCTACCTTTTCATACAAAATGGTCAAAATAACAAAAAAGTCACACTTTTGACATAGTGCATATTTTCAACAAGGTGACACGTCAATTTCAACAGGGTAAATCACCTTGCCACCCAATTGATTAATTATAAGAAAAATCATCAGAGATTTATTTGGTTATGAAATAATGTTAGAAATGAAAACGTTCATAGTAGGTTTGTCTTAATGCTTCAGATGTACAATATCTTCTTATGTATAGCAATGTTACTCTAGAGACAAATTAGAAGGAGGTTTCAGAGACTTAACACATGTAAATAATCAGCATTCCATGTACTATCTGAAAATAGCATGAAATATGGAGGTTCAGAAATAATATATAGATTTCAAAATTGGCCATTTTGAATTTCACAAAAATAAGTAACACCTATAATACACCTTCACAAAGTAGACTTAAATGTTAAATCTGGGCTATATTGATAAAAAACCATACAATAACAGAGACTTCAGTTTTGAATTAACACTTCTAGATAATCTCCTATATGTTTAATTTGTTTCCTTGATTATGAACCAATCCCAGGGATATGCAGTCTAGACCATACATTCCGTGGTTATTCATGCATTAAAGCCATAATGTTACAAATAACAAATTTCTTTGTCAATACTTGATTCTCAGCAAATGAATAGTTTTTTTTGTTTTGATTTGAAAAGCCGAGATTTGGGATTCATAAAAATCTCAACAGTGTAGCAAAATCTCTGTGAACAATATTATTAGTTCTCAATATAATGGAATAAATCATTTATTATTGCTAAACCCAAAATGGTATTTTTTATTTGCTTTTATTGAAGAGTCCTATTAAAATTTGGAAATACTGGTTGCTGAACAATGTCACACTGACTTAAATTTATGTTGCGCTTAGCAAAAATTGCAGGCCATGTTTTCAACCAAAGTTTACCACTAAAAATCCAGTTTTAACAAATAAAATGTATCTGATTTGTTTCTAGGTTCAACTGCATCACAGGGTGTGTACCAAATTAAGTGTGACAGTTGCACGTGCGGGGTATGGTACAACATAAGTTAATGAAATTTGAGCTAAAGTAAAATTCTAAATGTTAGGAACTACTTTGAATTTAAAAAATAAGCAATCAAATGACTATATTGTATATTTCGGATAGTTGTGTGTATAATGTGCAGGAAAGCTGTAGCCTTTTGTAATTTACGGAGTTTCAGCCATGTTAATTTTTCCGAAAATAACATGGCAGAGAAGCATCAAAATATAAGAGGGCACAGATATGATAGCTAAACTACAAATCAAACTAAAATATACAAAAGTTAGGACATGTATAAATGTTTCTATTTTTAAATATACTGCTTCAAATATGGTCCTTTGATAGCTTATTTTTTAAATTCAAAGTAGTTCCAAACATTTAAAATTTTACTGTAATTGATGTTTTCATATTATAGATGTTCACAAATTCCCAATGTGTATACGGTATAACGCACGGTAACGGTGAGGTACAACACAACCGTATACTACATTGAGAGTTTGTGTAGGTTTAATTATAAAATTCATGGTCAAGTTCACTGTCTAAGATGTTGTAAAATATCTAGAAACTAAACCAAAACTTTCTGAAACAATGAAAACATCAGTTTGTTCAAATCGTATCAGCCTCGTGTTGTACCTTACCCCATGCATTCAACTGTCACGCTTAATTTGGTAAATACCCAGTATGCATCAGCATAAAGAAGCTTAGTGACATTATAGCTGAGCAGCAAAGTGACATTAGCAGTGATATAACAGTTTACAATGAAAATGACAAAGAAAACAAAATATTTCCTAGCAGGGCTAGCAGTAATACTTGGACTGAACTTTGCGTCGTATTTACTATTCGGTCCAAAAGATGAATCAATCAAAACCCCTGAAAAGGTTCTCAGGGCCGACAGTTTAAGATTCTCCGCAGGAATATGTAAATCCATAGTTCACAAGACAGTGTGTCTGGGTGCTCAGGAATGCGGCTGGTGCACAAATAATGACACTCCATTGTGTGTAGAAGGTACCAAAGATGGAGCAGAAAATCACCATTGTTCTTCCTGGTGTTTCAGTCCCCATGATGCAAATTGTCGCTCATATAAGAAGCTTATTGTGTTTGGAAATGGGCCGTCACTGAAAGGATTTGACTTCTTCAAGACTAAAGGAGTGGATACCTTAGGAATGAACTTAGCCTTTAGATACTGGAAACAGATTGATTGGTGGCCGACATATTATGCATCGTTTGATACTGTTGTTAACATTGCACACATCCCGGAGCTAATGGATATGATTGAAAACTCTGAAAAACGTGGCATGAAACTATTTTTTACTCGATCAAATATCGCTGAGGAAAATCCGCAACTAAAAAATCATCCAAAAGTAAAATTTTATGAAAACATTAAAGCAGCCAGTGACCAAAATATGGTAAAAGTGACTCGTGAGATCTCGACAGGAGCTTTAGCTGCGAGGATTGGACAATACTTAGGATATGAGAAGATTTTGCTCCTAGGAATTGACATGAATTATGTTGAATACATCAATGGTTCAACACGCCATAAAGGAGGGACACTTATCATGAAAGAAACCCCTAAAAACAACTCAAACTATTTCTTTTCAAATTACCAAGTGAAAGGTGATGTGTATAATGTTCCAAACAATGAGGTGGTTCACGTAACTGCATTCAAGCAGATTCTAGAGGACACCAAGAAACACCCAGAGTTCAATGTAGAATATTTCAATGGTAGTCCAGTGTCAAGACTAAATGGAATAGGATACAAATTCATGAAATTTGAAGACTTTATGAAACTGTGATATACGGCTGAAAAAAATGAGAAAATTCAGTGACCTAAATAAGTCCCTTAGTGCACTCTTTGTGAAAATATGAAAGATGAAGACCATATATAAAATGGGTTATTATCTATTCCTTAAAATAACATGTGACTCCAATGAGGACTGCATACAAATTCCAAAAGTACACATTTCCCTCAAAGAATCTGCAATGATTTTGCATTTATTCTGATATTACTTTATAAACTGATTCAATAAAGCTTTTGTAAAGATTTTTCATTATTTTGTTTTGTACCAAAGCTGTTTTTCTGTAAACAGTATTCTTTACAGAATCGTCAATCAAAAAACTCGACAGAGTATTAAAAGATGTCATCTCTGCAATAGTTCATTAATGATGAATGTAAAGGTTTGTACAGAACATGCACATGAAAAATTGCCTTTCTACTTAATGTCAAAAAGTTTGATTCAAATTCACACTGGTATCAATGGACCTTTTTTGATCTGATAACCAGGCAAATCATCTGATTGGCACATGGGCTCGCTTTATACATTATTCATTGAGACCAGATGCTACTATGACGGGGGGGGGGATATTGTATATCGTATAAGAGGGTGAAAATTTATTGTATATTGTATAAGAGGGGGCAAATTTTATCATGGTATAAGAGGTGTAAAAAATATGGTATATGGTATAAGAGAAAATATATGGTATCTCAAGGCACCAGAAGGTAAAGAATTGAAGGCTAATTATGAAGAAATTGTGCCCTGAAAAACTCCATTGTGCTGACTTTTTACTGTCATCGTGTTGGAAAACATGAAAGAGTATAGTCACTCTAATTGGTTCCACATTCCATGTCAATCAATAAGTTTTGAGAAAATCACTCTCAAAGGTTTTTTCCATTTTCATTCAAATTTTCACAGGAGGTGTTAAATACAGTGTCAAATAAGAATGCCAAATGTCATTGACTCTTCTCAACTTTGATGAAAAATATGGTCACTATAGCTACGTGTGTTTCGGGGTATGTGGGATAAATCATTAAAATATTTGAATATAAAGTGTTCATACAGCGTATATTTAATTCAAGCATCATTAGATATTCTTATATTGCAAAAGGTGTTTATTTGGTCCTAAAACTAACTAGAAAAACAGCAACTCCACGGAGTAGCAAATCCCACCGAACAAAACATATTATGCGTGAAAATGTTGAAATGACGTGCACTTTGTGATAGAAGCATGAAATTTGGCACAAAGTTAGTTTATACCATTGTGAACTAGGCATCATCATATAAAATTTGAACCAAATCCGTTCACTGGTATATGAGTTATCAAAGATAAAGTTTTTTACAAATATGGGCCGCCATCTTGAAATTCAGCCGCCATCTTGAAAATTATTTCTTGAACAGAGCTACTGTGTCCCTAGGCATAATCATATAAAATTTCAACCAAATCTGTTCACTGGTATTTGAGTTATCAAAGATTAGGTTTTTTACGAAAAATTACCGCCATTTTGAAATTAAGTGGAAATCTTGAAAATGTTTTGTCGAACATAGCTACTGTGTCCCTAAGCATCATCATATAAAATTTGAACCAAATCCGTTCCGTATAAAATTTGAACCAAATCCGTTCACTGGTATAGGAGTTATCAAAGATTACGTTTTTTACGAATATGGGCCGCCATCTTGAAAATTATTAGGCATAGGCATAATCATATAAAATTTCAACCAAATCTGTTTACTGGTATTTGAGTTATCAAAGATTACGTTTTTTACGAAAAATTGCCGCCATTTTGAAATTAAGTGGCCATCTTGAAAATGTTTTGTCAAACATAGTAACTGTGTCCCTAAGCATCACCATATAAAATTTGAACCAAATCTGTTCACTGGTATTTGAGTTATCAAAGATTACATATTTTTACGAAAAATGGCCACCATTTTGAAATTAAGCGGCCATCTTGAAAATCTCTTTTTGTGCGAAACTCCTTTGTCCCTAGGCATCAGCATATAAAATTTGAACCAAATCCGCAAACTATTATTTGAGTTATTAAAGATTACATTTTTTACGAAAAATGGCGGCCATTTTGAATTCAGTGGCCATATTGAAAATTCCTTCTCGAGCAGAGGTCCTACACCCATAAGGCATAAGCCTATAAAATTTGAATCAAATCCGTGAAACGGTATTTGAGTTATCGCCCGGACAAACAGACGGATGGACGAACGGACGGACGGTTTCCTATATCCCTCTTGAACTTCGTTCGGTGGGATAATCAAAGAAAGGACCACGGAAGGTATCGCAACTGATTTCAAACTGTCATGTTGGATTTCAGCTATTGATTGGAGATTTGAACAAGTGCATATGTTAGGTCATTGCATTAACCAAATCAAGCACTCATAGAGGTGATAAAATGATTTGGACTTTGAGACAGGGAAGGTGCAAACACCCAATAAACGATTTTCTGAAATGTTGCCCTTTTCACATATGTTTTTTTCAATGTTTGGTGCATCAATATGTTGCATGTTTAGAAATAGTCAACCTATTTAAAGGAAATATGATTCATTTGGATAACGTGAAAAACAATATTCCTTATGTTATTTTCACATAGGGAAAACTCATGTGATATATTGTTTTCAGCTTAATTTTAGTCACCCAAAATTGATATCTTTAAAACCTCAGCATGAATCATATTTTCCTTTAAAGATGTTAACTGTGTCTCAAAACACAACATGTTAGGGGTGGGGTCAAAATATCAATGTTCATATGGAGACGAAAGTAATTTCGTTTGGACAACCCCCCCACCCCCCCTCTAGACGAAAGCTTAGGTCACTTCAAAAAAACATTGATTTTCAGTGACTGTCAAATGATTACGGTGAATTAACACACGTTCGCAATTTAACTGCATTGAACTCTTCAAAAGGGGGAGGGAAAAGTACGGAATTTATTTGAAAAATGATCGAATTATCGTCTTTATCTACCGATATTTTGGACCTATCACACAAAAAAGCTCACGAACTATTGAAAACAAGCCTTTTTATCAGAACATAGCGCCAGAAAAAGTGGGTAAGTCCAATTATTTTTTGTATATCAGATCTGAATTATCGATGTTTTTTTGGTCAAGGAAAGTGCCCAAAAACCCCCTCCCCCCCTCGCGAAAGTACTTTCGTCTCCATAGGAACATCGATATTTTGACCCCGCCCCTTAATGCAACAAATATTGAAAAAACAGATGTTTAAAGATGCATTATGCCATAGGTTTCTCCCCCAGACAATCTATGATGTCCTATTGTTATTGCTCATATAATATCTCACATACCATGGATATATCTTGAGAATAACTTTTGGGTATATTATTGATGAAATATCGGAAATAATCAACAGAACAACCAAACTCCAGAATTAAACACAATCTATTCCTCGGCTAGCGAGGGGAATCCCCATTGAGTCACACAAGCGCCCACAAGCGCCTTGAACCAGGCAGCCAATCAGGTTTATGATAAACAAATTCAACGACCAATCAGATAACAGGAGGACTTTCCCGGTATATTCAAACTTCAGATTGAGTTAATTTCTTTGAAAATGATTAGAAAGGCCAGCACAATCGCAAAATTTACACTGAAAGAGGGGGATTTTGGAATTTCTTTTCTGGCAAGTATATGGGTAAATATGTGGTGAAACTCAATATGCAAAAAGTCCAGAGGCGTCTTGATTGTGCTATCCTATGGAATAGAGCCTCTTTAAAAGATTGGAAATCAGGACAACATTACAGAAAAAACATGTTGGTTGGGTGTTTGCACCCTCCCTGTCTTACAGTCCAAATTATTTTATCATCTCTTTGGCTGCTTGTCCTGGAGTTAATGATGGCCTGACACATGCATCTGTTAAAATCCTCAGAAAATAGCCAAAATCCAACATATGACTGAAATCTGTTGCAATACCATCCATGGTCCTTACATAGAGTTTCGAGTTACATAGAGTAGTTTTCATTCTCATCAACACATCTTTGCCTTGAAATCATTCGTGAAACAAGTGGTTTGACCTTTATGGAAATTTGCTTAATTTTGACACACTTTTGTTTGACTTATACTGTTTTTAAGGCTGCTTTATCTGAAACCCCGAAGTGTCTCTGTTTCAAATGATTAAACAATCAAGCCTCATCTTGCCTTTATTTCAAACTCTAGTCCAGACTCGAGTCCAATCAAAATTGAATTATCTACATGGAAGTTTTATTTGTGAAGTACTTTAATTATTGTTTCCGAAACTGTTTTCAATACTTAATATTCTCCAGGTGACTTTCTTACAAAAATATTGTGCATTGTGAATCTTCCTGATAGTGTTCCTCAGCATACTTAATTTTCAGAGAACACATGATGAATCTTTTATTCCACATTCTCAGTTTTGGATCAATTATGTTTCGAGAAATTCCCTGACTCCTTATGAAGGATTCCATTGCCAATTAAAATAAGTCTTGAGGAAAGTAGGTCATAAGAAAGAGGTACACTGAGTTCCACCCATTTCAATGATGCGATTTTTGTGCTAATTTTGAATATTTTTATGGCACTTTTACAGATACTGGCTTTAGCCAATTGCAGAAAGTCAAGAATCTTATACCATAAATATGTTTTAATCAATTTTTTACCTGAAAATAAAAGTGGTCAAAGAATTTCTGAACATGCGGATGTACCTGAATGGTGTCTCGGTTATAATGTAATAAATGAAATCATTGTGGTAAGTATGTGGAGTCTTATATTTGCCTTATAATAATACATTTAATGGAGTACATGGATTCTCTCCTAATATTATTCCTTTATAAATATCAAATATTCGATCAACAGCAGTTTCAAAATTATTGTATATTGTATTTCATCTAAACTTTTGTAAATTATTGTATATGGTATAAGAGCTGTGAAAATTATTGTATATGGTATAAAAGGGGTGAAAAAATATTGTATATGGTATAAGAGAGCTGAAACATATTGTATATGAATTTCCAAGACCCCCTATACACCCGCCCCCCCCACCCTATGACAATGACAAAGCTATTGATTCACTGCACAATGAATGTTTTATGAATGCTTCAACAAAATGAACGTTTGTCAAAATGACTAACTGGTAATAGCTTGATATACTTGCTCTAAATAATCCAATTATGTAAGCAAACATAAGAAATACAACTGACCTTAACCATCTAATTATGTAAGCAAACATAAGAAATACAACTGACCAACTCGAGTTTGTTATATCATCCAAACAATCATGCTAATTGGATATTTATAAGATAAAAGATCTATATTGTACTGAGGTGCTGTATGTTCATGCACAATAATTAAAGAGGCTGTATTGATCGGTCAATTGATTGTACTGCTGAAAAATAAATAATTAATATGCATGCGAGCCAGTATAGTGTGCATTGTAGCAGAATTGATTTAGAATAAGATGTTAGTTCATTATTACACATATTAGGATCTGAATAAGGTAAGAATATGAAGTTTTACCCAAATTTGTACAACTTGAATTTTAGGTAATAAGATGGCAGAACAAGTGGAATTTGATTATGATCTGATGTCCATATAATAGATAATAGATGATTTTATGCTTTATAAATCTCTATAAAGCACAGTTGAACTTTGCTAAAACAAAGTAATCACTGGACCAGTCAGTTCAATTTCAAATAAAAAAATACAAATCTAAATCACTACCCTTTGTAAAGAAAAAAAGTGCATGGTCCTTTATCAGTCATAACATTTTCAAAATTTTGTATGATATTACTAAATTCTTAGAGGCAAATGGCATACATAGTACTAGTGGGAAATTAAAAAAATTAGATGAAAATCTAAAAAAGTCAGCAATGCTTAACTAGATTGTCTCACAAACTCACTGAGTTGCAATATTTCTGAGACTAATACAGATATCAGCCTATAACTTTAGGATATTATTCATCTCTGGACTAGTAATGTGTGCTGTAGAAAGCAGAACAATCACAAATATATCCTTTAAGTTATGAAATAATCTTATAGTACCCCCTGAAATCTTAGGAATTGAAGTCCAATTCGGCTGTGAAAATTGTTTTTACCACTTTAAAGCCCATCACCTTATATTTTCTTACACCTACTAGGTTACTCTAACATACTGCATTGCCAAAAGTTACTTCTTGCAAACCTCCGGCAAAAGTGTGCCAGCATCTGATACAGAGGTGATTTTTTCCATTGAATTATGTCATAAATTACGATTTGCTATAAAACAATGTAATACATTTTCCTCTAAGCCAAGGATGTCATTTTGTATATGTTATATTCTTCATACCATTGTAAAGCCTGTCCCAATCTGGTCATAACTGACAGGTTTGAAATAAACATTGACACACTGACAGAAAATTATAGAAGTGCCAAAACCCGCCCAAAAAATGATTTTTAGACAATTTTACCCCTCAGATAGCAGTGAAATTAGAGATAGGATGTAACCATTTTGCTCAATAAATACATTTATGTATCACATCTGACATAATTTTTGGTATGTATAAGCTAAGTGTAGGATATTTAACATATTTGTGGGTCATCACAAATATTTTAGATCAAGGTGAGGCTAACAAATGTGTGGCCTCAGTTATATATATCATGCTTCTCTCTGTCATGTTATTCTCATAAGCATGGCATCAGAATTATCATGATTGACTCGAAACTCTGAATTACAAGAGATCACAATTTTATTGCATATTCTAATTTGTATACAGAAGTTTGGTTTTTATAACATGTTTGTATTTTCCTCCTTAAGGTCAGACTGTACTTTCTACAATTTTGATGACCATGTGCTTTTTTCAGATGAACATAACTCATTCCAAACATGTTATAAATCTTTCATTTTTGCACGTACAAAGGGTGCTTTAGCGTACCCAGATTAATAATTGAGTGTTAATTGTTTTTTAGAATGCATAAATAACTAAAATTTCAGCAGTCCTCTTTTCAAAATTGCAAAAAAACTCATCATGCAGATCTGCCTTAAAATTGCACACTGTGGTCCTTTATTGGTTGATTATTTTAGCAAAACACAATCCAAAATACTGTTAAGATTGCTTGCATGTGGTTCTAACATTAAATCAGTATATACATGTACATCATACATTTCGAGCTGGGACTATGCCAGGGGTATTAGATATAATAGGATCAAATATGCAATAACACACATAACTCATGGGAAAACACCATGTTTCTAAAGGTGATTTACTTTCAAGTATGATGAACCATATACTAGCCAGTGTTGGTCCTAACTCTCTTGTTAAAAAATATTTCTGGCCAGAAATAATTAAAAAATCAAGCGGGAGCTTTCATTCATTCAAAAAACAACAATTTGATTCAAGTTGTGTCAGATTGATGGGTCAGACAGAAAAATACATGGTTCATCCTAGGACTCATGACTATTGTTATAAACACGATGGTACAATTATATTGGCATTCATCACATTACCTAATAGGCAAACTGTATTCCATTAGTCTATTGCCAAAAGTGAAAAGCCATATTATCATAATTCGCATCGTTCAAAATCAAAATATTTTGTAAAAATTATGGCGAAATGACTTTTTGTGAAAGGGTATTAGAAGCTACCTTTTGTACGTCATAAGCATTGAGCATTTGATTAAATAATATATATAAGCATGATTAAATTGACTTGAACCTGTACCTGATGTACTTTTAGATCAACAGCAACATAAAGAAGCAGCCTAAATGCATCAACTTATGAACATCATCTCATTAGAACCAGTCTATCAGAAGATAATATTATCAACTTCATAAAAGCTTTGTGGAAGCAGGTAGAAGACGACCAAAATATAAAGACAGAAATAATGAGTTATAAGTCGCAAGCAATCCGATATTTCATAGTCATAGTGATAGGAATATTAGCTCTAAGACTAGGTTTCTATGTACTTTATGGAAGAGAGCTACCAAGTACAGTTCACAGTGCTCAATCCGACAATTCAAGACGCTTCACTAGAACTAGTATATGTGAATCTATAGTAAACCAAAAACAGTGTCAAAGTGCTAACGAATGTGGCTGGTGCAGAAACAATGATACTCAGTCATGTATAGAAGGCACCAAGGATAGACCGCAATATCACCAGTGCTCCCTGTGGTGTTTTGGATACAGGGAAAAGTGTCGCCCACAAAAGAAACTTATTGTATTTGGAAATGGGCCGTCACTGAAGGGATTTGACTTCTTCAAGACTAAAGGAGTGGATACCTTAGGAATGAACTTAGCCTTTAGATATTGGAAACAGATTGATTGGTGGCCGACATATTATGCATCATTTGATACTGTTGTTAACATCGCACACATCCCGGAGCTAATGGATATGATTGAAAACTCTGAAAAACGTGGCATGAAACTCTTTTTTACTCGATCAAATATTGCCAAGAAAGAACCTCAACTGAAATCTCATCCGAAAGTAAAATTTTATGAAAACATTAAAGCAGCCAGTGACCAAAATATGGTAAAAGTGACTCGTGAAATCTCAACAGGAGCTTTAGCTGCGAGGATTGGACAATACTTAGGATATGAGAAGATCTTGCTCCTAGGAATTGACATGAATTATGTTGAATACATCAATGGTTCAACACGCCATAAAGGAGGGACACTTATCATGAAAGAAACCCCTAAAAACAACTCAAACTATTTCTTTTCAAATTACCAAGTGAAAGGTGATGTGTATAATGTTCCAAACAATGAGGTGGTTCATGTAACTGCATTCAAGCAGATTCTAGAGGACACCAAGAAACACCCAGAGTTCAATGTAGAATATTTCAATGGTAGTCCAGTGTCAAGACTAAATGGAATTGGATACAAATTCATGAAATTTGAAGACTTTATGAAACTGTGATATAAGACTTAAAACATATTTTGACAATGTTAAATTAAAACAGTTTGAGCCACCGCAACATTGTTCTTTCCAAAATGGGTAGTTTTAAAGACTCAAATAATTTGTAAACATTCACGGAATACTGTTACAAAACATCACCCAATTCATTAATATTAGCAATTGGATTCATAGAAATACTCATGAAGAGAATCATCAACCTGTTTACTAACTTTCTCGTTTTACAAATCTTTGAATAAACCTGCTTTCATCCTACCAATTATGATCATTGTATAGTTTCTAAATAGCTGAATAACGCTGACATAATAGATGTCACCCTCGTTTGTCTTTGATTTTCTTGGGCCAGACCTCCATTCACTTCTATGTATGATAGAAAATTGCAATAGTCACTTAATTTCATGATTTATCAAAAAAGTGTTGGTTGAATCTGTCTGAAACTCGAATGGCATACTATTGGATGACCCTGTCAATGTACATATTGTGATTAAACATGAAAATGTGGGTTGTCATATGAATAAGCCAAGGTTTTAATGAATTTTAGCATTGCGTCAATGGAGATTTTGCCCAAGTTTTTTTAAAATGTCATGGAAAAATTATTCAAATGACATAACTGATAATCCAAAGCTATTATTGGAGTTAAAAGTAGAGGTAAAAAGCGCAAATCTCTTAAAATCTGATGAAAAAATGAGAATTAGTAAGATTTCAAAGCTATTTAAAAACTCCTCTATTGGATTTATAAGATAAAAAATCTATATTGTACTGAAGTGCTGTATGTTCATGCAAAATATAATCAAGGAGACTGTATTGGTCAGTGAACTGCTGAATAAGAAATCAATTAATATGCTTGTGAGCCTCAGTGTAGTGTGCATAGTAGCAGAATTGGTTTAGATGCTAGTTCATTATTACACATATGAGAACTGAACAAGGTGAGAACATTTGTACATCTTGTATTTTAAAGATTTATATTTATTAAGATGACAGAACAAGTGGAATTTCTAAATCACAGTAAAATCATGTATATTTTAGATTAAGGTTGAGCTAACAAATGGATGCTTCTCTGTCATGTTATTCTCAAAGCATGGCTTCATAATTATCATGGTTGAAAAGCTCTACATTACAAGAGATCACAGTTTTACTCCATATACAGGATGTAATTTGTTACTAAGATATACAGAAGTTTGGTTTTTGTAACACATTTGTATGTTCTTCCTCAAAATTGTATTGTGGTCCTTTATTGGTTGATTATTAAGCAAAACATGAATTCAAAAATCAGAAATCTGCCTGCATGTGGCTCTAATATTAAATATTAATATTAAGTATTAAATTAAAATGTTTCTTTATGTGATCACTTTAAGGAATGAACCATACACTATACAGGCTATACATCTGAGGGTGCATACACTATATGTAAAAGCCAGAGTGAGTTCTTACTCTCTTGTATATTTCTGGCCAGAAATGATTAGAAATCAATCAGTAGCTTTCATTCATTCAAAAAACATTTTAATTAAAGTTGTTTCAGAATGAAAGGCCAGACAGAAAAATACAAGGTTCATGACTATTGTTATAAACATGATGGCACAATTATATATTGGCATGCAGTCCATTGCCAAATGGGCAAACTGTATTCCATTAGTTGATAGCCAAAAGCTTTGAATCCATCCTAAATAATTGATCAGTATAATCATTTTCAAAAGTTTATCGTAAATCAACCATGTTTGTATAGTTACCACACAATATGCCAAGCAAAGGATCTAGTGCATGCTCCATTATGATTTCCCCATGAAGAAAAATTAATTCATCTAATTTTTCAAAATGAATATTGCTTTTATTATTACATTTATATGTACACTAGTATCTTGTTGATCTATATTCAGCACTGTATTGATGAATGGGCCATTTATTAGGGTCAATATTCAATCATGAAGTGTAGAGGTGTAGATGCTAAATCATTTAAACATTTTGTGTCTGTCAAAATCCATTTGCATCATTTGGATCCTTATATCTTATCCAAATATGTTATTAATTATGGAATATAATAGTATAGTCTTTGGATTTACAAAGTTGTATTACTTTTGATAAGTGCAAAAGTTACTTTTGGAGCATTTTTCATAGCCATTTTGTAGGAAAAAATATGAAAAAATATATAATCTTTTAATTTAAAGTATGACCTGAATCAATAACGCAGATGCGAGTAGGTAGTTACCAGATTCACCACCAGGTGGCTCGTTCGGGTCAGATAGCATGGCGGGTATAGTAGAAAGTTCCCTTTAACTTAAATTACATCTATTTGCGTGGTTCAATTTTCATATAACCCTTATGTATCTAATAGGTATGCAAATTAAAATATGTCCAGTAAAAGAAAATGTTATCTGTCCAATACAAGAAAAGATAATTCACTTTTTGTGATTTTCTAACATGGGGTCTATGAGGAATCAACCCGAACAAGAGGTCACATTTTCAAAAAAAATTAAGTTTTCAAAGTTGATAGACAATTTTCGAAACCATATTTCTAGATGTACATTTACATGCAGATTTCAAATATGACATCTCTTTGACTGAATTTTGAATATTAATGACGTAAATCAAGATTATTTCTACTCGCATGTAGTCTATTGCAAACTCCATATTTGCACATTTGATGTCATATTCAGTAAAATTATTTATTTTGCAATTGATTCAGGTCATAGTATACTTTGGGTATTTTTGTGATAATCAATAGAAACCAACGGCCTCTATTGGAATATGATGATATCCACATGTTAAGTCAATGGAGCACATCCCATGTCAAGTCAATACACCCTTGCTGAAAGGATAGGTAGGTATCGATATGGTGAACTGAATTCAACAATGTTTTTATCTTAAACCAATTATTGAAAACATTCTGTAAAAAACACGGTGCTTTTATGTAATGTTGACTGATTGGCAACAATGTAATGCAAAAATTATTTATATATATTTTATATAACTGTTTTTGTTAACATTTTTTGTTTTTTAGTGCAATTGTTTTTTGTTCCTTTCTACCAATTCTTGAGAATGAAATAAAATGTCTTTCCGAACATTGTTGGAACAAAATAGCATATACAACATTTTCTTAGACCTCTCAATATTACAGTTATACAAAGGAAATTTTGGTTCTGCTCCTTTATGACCTCAACCTCAGCCCATGTGGGTCCAAACACTTAAATATTTTCCAAAGTTTTATGTGACATTGTATTCTTCATGTTACACCTAAAAATGATTCATTCTGACCATGGGGGGTATGTAATTTTTTACAATTACCAATATTTAATAAAATTTGTAATATTTTCCCAAATTTTAGTACTATCTACTAGTGTTGTCGCGATTAATCGATACATCGCGATATACATCGCCAAAGCTGATTCTGGCGATGCATCGATGTCTGACACAAAACATCGATGTTTTTTTTAAAAAAAAATTTGCTAAAAATCACCCTTTCTTATCTTATTTTGACGCAAATCGCTTACCTTTCTCATGTCTTATTTCATTTTCCAATGTTTCTGATATTCTTTCGCTTTAAAACTGTTTTAGCTAGTCGAAATGAACCATTAAATTCTAAAAAATTACTTTACTTTCATTTCTCCGTTCCTAGAAGTTCCCGGATGTACTAGCGTACTCTTATTAATTTGTTCTGTTCGGTATTTTAGTGCACTGACGTTCGGTATTTCAGTGCACTTTTCTCGGACTTTTTCTCGATGTACATCGCGATGTGCATCGATGTTTACTACTGAAAATTGCCGATGCATCGATGTACGATTATGGCACATCGCGACAACACTACTATCTACATATTTTTATACATCGCATTCTTCAAAATCAAAATATTTTGTGAAAATTATGGTGAAATGACTTTTTGTGAAAGTGCAAAATTATGTTTTTTATGGTAAAGTATAAGCATGATTGCATCAACTTGAACCTGCACCTGATTTACTTTTAGATAAACAGCAACATAAAGAAGCAGCCTAAACACATCAACTTATGAACATCATCTCATTAGAAGCAGCCTAAAAGCATCAACTTATGAACATCATCTCATTAGAAGCAGCCTAAACACATCAACTTATGAACATCATCTCATTAGAAGCAGCCTAAAAACATCAACAAGTACCAGCCTATTTGCAGTAGCCTATAAGCATTAACTTTAGAGCATCATGTCATGAGAAAACAGTCAGAAGATAATATAATCAACTCCATAACAGTTTTGTGAAAGGAATTACACCACAACCAAAATAGAAAGAAAGAAATAATGAGTTATAAGTCGCAAGCAATCCGATATTTCATAGTATTGGTGATAGGAATGTTAGCACTAATACAAGGTTTCTATGTACTTTATGGAAGAGAGCTACCAAGTACAGTTCACAGTGCTAAATCCGACAATTCAAGATGCTTCACTAGAACTAGTATATGTGAATCTATAGTAAACCAAAAACAGTGTCAGAGTGCTAACGAATGTGGCTGGTGCAGAAACAATGATACTCAGTCATGTATAGAAGGCACCAAGGATAGACCGCAATATCACCAGTGCTCCCTGTGGTGTTTTGGATACATGGAAAAGTGTCGCCCACAAAAGAAACTTATTGTATTTGGAAATGGCCCGTCACTGAAGGGATTTGACTTCTTCAAGACTAAAGGAGTGGATACCTTTGGAATGAACTTAGCCTTTAGATATTGGAAACAGATTGATTGGTGGCCGACATATTATGCATCGTTTGATACTGTTGTTAACATTGAACACATCCCGGAGCTAATGGATATGATTGAAAACTCTGAAAATCATGGCACGAAACTCTTTTTTACTCGATCAAATATTGCTAAGAAAGTACCTCAACTGAAATCTCATCCAAAAGTAAAATTTTATGAAAACATCAAAGCAGCTGATGACCAAAATATGGTAAAAGTGGCTCGTGAATTCTCAACAGGAGCTATGGCTGCTAGGGTTGGACAATACTTGGGATATGAGAAGATTCTTCTTCTTGGAATAGACTTGAATTATGTTGAGCACATCAATGGTTCAACAAGTAATAAAGGAGGGACACTTATCATGAAAGAAACCCCTAAAAAAAATTCAAATTATTTCTTTTCAAATTACCAAGTGAAAGGTGATGTGTATAATGTTCCAAACAATGAAGCTTGTCATGTAACTGCATTCAAGCAGATTCTAGAGGACACCAAGAAACACCCAGAGTTCAATGTAGAATATTTCAATGGTAGTCCAGGGTCAAGACTAAATGGAATTGGATACAAATTCATGAAATTTGAAGACTTTATGAAACTTTGATATTGCATTGAAACCTGCAAGCTTCAAATCAATCATAATATCAATCCATCCTATGAATATACAAGCAATTCCAATGTATAATGATTATTTCTCAGTATAAGAGACTGTAGAAATGAACTAATCAATACCAAGTTTCTATTATTGTATATTTTACAACAAATGTAACAATTTTTTTAAACTTATTTCCATGATATTCATGACACTGGAAGAAAACTTAAATAGGGAAAATTCAGAGTAGCAAAAACATTTAATGAATTTGAAAATGCCACTTTTTGGTAACTATTTCAAATTTTGCATTAAAGATCTCATCAACAATCAAAAATAGCTCAACATAGCCTAAGATACAAAAGCAGGTGAGAGTCCATCTGCTAATACATTGTTCCACAACTTAAAATGTCAATATAACAAAATGGATGAACTTCCTGGATACAAGTTTTTTGTTTTCTCGATTTAAGCATACTTTTAAGTCAAGTTGCAGATTATCATTAATGGCACAAAGTTAGACAATATAGTCTAGCTTTAAGAAATGCTCTTGGTTTGAAATTTGATTTTTAAATAAAGCTTTAATTCATGCATTTAGACCATTGCTTTTGTTACACTGACGTAAGTTGTCAAAGTAACATACATTGGTAATTTAACGGACTTCATTTACAAAACAAATTCAAAATGGAAGAAATTCATTCAAGCTAGACTATATTTTCTAGCTTTGTGCCAAATTACAATCTGCAAATTGACTTATAAGAAGGTTTAAATCGAGAAATCAAAAATCTCGTAACCAGGAAGTTCATCCATATTTTTCCAATACTGTTTAACATGGGATCTGCCATTTTTGTTCAATTGCATGAAATTCATCAATTTTGACATCAAATTTTGACCCAATGTAATGGAGATATAACATTGAAACGTTGCAGACTTTATAGGGAATAGAATCGAGATACAGATTTATTTACTTTATTGGGATTTCTTTTGTTCCCCGCTTAGAAAATAGTCGTTCAAACAAATATGGGGGTTAACATGTAAACCTATGAGGAAAACCACTGGTCCTTAACTTTTTTTGAGGAGTATATAAAGTCAGATTTGAACTACTGAAAACTTGTAGATAATTTTGAAAAAAACTGAAGTCAGTCTAAACAGTATTTGTTAAGTTATTGGAAGTTTTAAGAATTTGTTACAGACGCAACCCACTGATCGCCAACCACTGATCACCACCCACCGATCTCCAACAGCCATCACAAAAAAACAGAGATACCATAACAATATGTCACCACTTTTTGATGGTGACATAACAATCTGAATGAGATTGAGTTTCTCTACTCACCTCTCTGGGTATGTCCACTTCAGCACCAGCTTTGAGAAGTTCTTTTACAATATCTACATGTCCCATCTGACTCGAAATCCACAAGGGACTAGCACCATCCTAAAATATAATAGAAACATAATAAAAACAAAACTGTAAAAAATGTTTTCCCCCTTACTTAATGAGACACAAAGTAATGGGTGTACTAAAGTGACATCTATTTAAACAATAAAAGTTAATTATAAGAAAAATAAAATACTGGCTTTAACAAAGTTTCCAACATAAAACATAAAATTTCACCTTTCTAGTCATGTTTGGTTGGGCGCCATTTGAGAGTAAAAATTTGAGCATTTTCATGTGCCCATTTTGTGCTGCTATGAATATGGGTGAGGCGCCATCTACCATCTGTACATGTATGTCTGCCCCGTGGTTTATTAGCTCTTCTACAACTTCTATGTGATTGCACTGGCATGCAACAAATAAAGGTGTTCCACCATCCTGTAAAAAACATAAAATTGAAAATTGACAGATTTTGCCTATGACTCAAAAGAGGAAGTGAGGTTTTCAGATATAGCTCAACTTATACCCTTTGCATTCGTTCGAGTGCTTCGTCTTCACTCTTTCAGTTTTCAATAAATCTCTGAGTTTGTCGTCGGAATAAGGATGACTCTCTATATATGGTCATTTTCTCTGATGTAATAGCATAATTATCGTGCACACATTTAGCACATTTTCCTTCCAGTTCAGTTGAGTTCGCTGATTGGTTGAGAAAAAAGTTAAGCCTGACCCGAGCTGTCATAGGCATTGGTCGGGGCTCCTAAACTGTAATATAGTCTATACCATTATTGAATAATATACATCAATTTTTATATTAATACAGAAAATATCAATATCAGAAAAAACATAACTTGGGAGGTAAACAGAGGCTTCTTCTTTTAAGACTTACATAACTTGGGAGGTCTACAGGGGCTCCTTTGTCCAAGAGTTCCTTTACAAGGTCGAGGAAACCTCCCTGGGCAGCAAAGAACAAAGCGCATGTTCCAGTCTAAAATATAAAGACACACCAGTCATAAAAACAGTCAGATATTTATTGCATGTACATATATTTACATGTACATGCTACTTCGAAAAATTATTCATTCAAACTTGATTACCTTGAGCATATGAATGCAGGAGTTTCACTAAAATTTCTCACAACAGACTAAATAAATGAAAACAGCAGGCAAAATGAATGGAAATCATTTTAACATTGAAAAAGTTAAAAGTCCATGAAAACAACAGGCGATTTTGTTAAAACAACCAATAAAAATTACCTTTTACCTGCTGCTAATGAAACCCTGTGAATGTATATAATATTCTTGTTCAGACAGATTTATAAGGGCCTGCAATGTGACAAATAATTTTTCTATTGAAATTTCAGCTCAGAACAGAGCTAATGACTATTATTATACAGCTTTGCTTCAAAGGAACAAGAATTCTTCGTTATGACCGAAGCTTTCTATCCACGTGTTTCAATACTGAAGCTTTTAATTCACAGGTTTGTAACAGGCACCATCAATATTAAATATTTGTTGATTACAGTACTGACCAGTCTTCTGGCTGATGGGTCAGCTCCTTGCTTAAGTAGTTCTTTCACACAGTCCAGGTGATTGTTAGCAGAGGCCAGGATCAGGGGAGTGGTCCCTTCCTAGAAGTACAAGAATGACATGTTAAAATGTAACTCTGTTTTTTGATAATACATTGCAAAGGACGTAAATAGCACAGTAAGCAGAGAACAGCCACCTATTGGTAGACATTAGAACTTAAACACAATCCTACAGAAACAGTTGTGTTGCAGTATTTGCATGAACATAACAAGTACAGGTCTATTTTGTATTGTAAATAAAATGCATTGTGGGTTGTATACTCCTCTACTTTCTCTGGAAGAGTACAGATGCTCACAATGGTCACATTAAGATAGACGCAAATAAAACACCACCTGCCATTTGTTAGACACCAAATGCCACACACCAACCACCGTAGACCAGCTACAACAATATGTCACCACTTTTGTGGTCAAATGATGAGAATGTCAATACTGTACCCATGTACATAACCCATGTATATTCCCTCTCATATATCACACAAACTTAGAAAGGGAAGGAAAAATATAGGATAATGAAGACAAGAGAGACAGAAACATTAGTAACAATATTCACTGGGGAGTATCGTGATGCAACAACACCGTGTTGTTGCATCAAGATGGCCAGACTTCCGGTGATAGATTTTCGTACGATATTTTGTTTCCCCAATTAAACCCATTTCTAGGACGAGTTGCTCAATAACCATACACGTGCAGTTAGCGCACGATCTATATTTAAAGAAACTGTCATTAGTATACATGTACCATCACCAAGAAGCAATAAGTTCACGGTTTTAGTTCCTCACTATTGATGCAACAACACCAACCCGAAGATGCAACAACACTCCTCTAGATTTGAGCAATGATGCAGCAACACCAATTAATATTATAATTTCAGAAGACCATAAATCTCGAGAGGAACAGATTTTTAAATGCTACTATTGCAATACCGTTACCAATTAGCCTACCCATATTTGCGTTCTTCTCAAGGCATTCAATATTTTCAAACATTTATACTTTTACATATTATAATGTACTGGACGTTATTCTATAACATAGTTCAATCGCCTTTAACATGACATGCTTTAGTAACCCAATCTATTTTCATAAACCACTGTTCCATAGCTTGATGACCCTGACTCCAGTTAGTATCATTCAAAATGGTGGACAAACATCTTTCGTTCTCGGTAAACATGATGAGCTATTGGATATTATCATGATATTATCTGTCATCCATCTGTGGAACAGTGATAAACTAGTAGATGTACGTTACCACTGTTTTATTTTAATTAATTATAACTAAAACAGTTTAACTGTGACATTCGTGAGCTTATGTTGATGGGATGATTGCTTCATCTAAGATATAATATGATATGATTCTTTATTTCCTACAATTTGGAGAGCCAACGTGTAAAAACGTCTAATTGACTTTATTAGAGAGGCCGTTTAGTTACACGTTTAATGGAAATCTTGCACGACGCACATGTAGAATTATTGCTCTCTTTGGATTCCTTCTCTCCGACTGAGTAAAAAGGTAAACAAAAGTGATAAAATTTAGGGCCCAAAAAGGTAAATTGATAGGGGTACAGTTATCCCAGATATCCCGGGCCCTCGGGAAATATCACATTGTCTCTCGAAATAAAACCAATATTGAGTCCCTCTCAGTAAATAACTTTTATATAATAGCATTGTATAACTGCAATATCATTAAACCAACACTCATCCTATACAACTCTTGAGAACGATGTACAACTCCTGGATAGCGTAAACTCCTGAGCAGCGTATACAACTCTTCAACTTGATATATGACATCATACTTTGGGTGGGATAACAAAGGATATACAATATACAATTGTAGACCCCTCTTGAGGTCAACTGGCAAAACTGTATACCGATACTGTGAACCTTGAAAGTACTGTTGATCAAGACCAGATGTCGAGGACACTTTTGCCAGTTGACCGAAAAGAGAGGTTAACAATTGTTCTGTTAGTCCAAATAATATAATAATTGGACGAATATATAATCGAATATCACGTGAACATATTTGATAAGTAAAGGTATCATATTTTAGCAAAAAATCCCCAAACCGTCGAATACTTGTAATTTTTTACACAACTTATTTTTTCAAAATTAAAAAAATTTCAACATTAAAAAAAAAATTTTTCAAAAATAGGGGTCAACAGTACCTACTAGTGATCAACAGTTTACAATTGTTGACCTCCCCAGAGGCCAACCGGCAAAATTGTATACCGAGACTGTAAACCGAAAAAATACTGTTGACAGAGACCGAAGGTCGAGGTCAACAGTAGTTTCAAGGTTTACAGTCGAGGTATATGATTTTGACGGTTGATCGAATGGAGAGGTCTACAATTGTTTTGTTAGTCCGAGTAAACTAATAATACACATATAGACGACGATCATCAATCGGCATGGCTTCATTTCACAACCTTTTCTCCGAACCACGTTAGCAATATTTTTTTTAGAAAATATGGAGACAGTGCAAGAAGCTTAACTCTGTATTTGGCACATCACGGCGTACTCGTTAGTGAATTAATGTTAATTTTAAGTTTCTATTTGTATTTTTGCTATACTTGTCGCCTAGTAAAGTCATTTTCATCAACATTTACAAAATGTCCGTCTTCCATGTTTTTTTGTGACGTCATGAAACTTTTTTTCAGAAGTAGCGGTCAACAGTACCTAGTAGCGGTCAACAATATACAATTGTTGACCTCTCCAGAGGTCAACCGGCAAAATTGTATACCAAGACTGTAAACCGAGAAACTACTGTTGACAGAGACCGAAGGTCGAGGTCAACAGTAGTTTCAAGGTTTACAGTCGAGGTATATGGTTTTGACGGTTGACCGAATGGAGAGGTCTACAATTGTTTTGTTAGTCAGAAGATACTAATAATACACATATAGACGAGAGTCATCAATCATGGCTTCATTTCACAATCTTTTCTCCGAACCACGCCAGCAATAATTTTTTAAGAAAATCTTATGACAGTGGTAGCTAAACTCTTTGTTTTTGGCACATAACTGCATACTCACTTGTAAATTAATGTTAATTTTTCGTTTCTTTTTGTATTTTTGCTATACTTGTCGTCTAGCAAAGTCAAAATATCATTTTCATCAACGTTTACGAAATGTTCGTCTACCATGTTGTTTCTGTAAACATTATGACGTCATATTTCCCATAATTCACAAGTGTAGTACAGTAACATAAGCGGTCAATGATATGATATCCCATGATGCACAGGTGAGGTACAGGCAAAAATGTTGACCGCTAATTGACCAATCAGATGCGAGTATTTACACTGAGGTACTAACAATACATTTTGTTGCCCGCTCATCAACCAATCAGAATTGAGTATTTCAATTGAGGTACTAACAACACAAAATGACTGATATCTGTTGTCTTTCCAAAATTATATTAGTTATTTGTACGCAATTTCCATACGGTAAATCAAGGGCATTTAATTTAGAAAATGTATAATCTTTACTTTTCAGATACAATATCAATGAGATTGCCTCCCGGGGATTCTATACTTTATTTAGTTTGCCTTGTATATCCTTTTAACTTTGATATAGACAAAGAAACCAAACAAAATACGTTTCGTTCATGGACCACTGACTCACGCGTTTTATTCATGTCCCGACCTACACCTGTAAACAGAACATAAAACAGTTTCTCTTGTTGTTCAATGATACGTACATTATATTGGCGTTTTTGCATCAGCACATTGGTGTTGTTGCATCATCGATAAGAAACAGAGTGGTGTTGTTGCATCAATAGTGAGGAATTAAAACCACGAATTTATCGCTTCTTGATGATGCTACATGTATACCAATGACAGTTTTTTAAAATATAGATCATGTGCTAACTGCATGTGTATGATTATTGAGCAACTCGTCCTAGAAATGGTTTTAATTGGGAAAACAAAACATTGTACGAAAATCTATCACCGGAAGTCTGGCCATCTTGATGCAACAACACGGTGTTGTTGCATCACGATACCCCCCAGTGAATATTGCTTTTGGAATTGTGGATTTCAAACATCAACGGTTGTAAAAAGACCTTATCAGATTCAAATCAAATAACATTGCTCCACCCTCAGATGTTGAAGAGTGTGGCTACTCAATAAGATCTAATCTTAATAAAAATTGGCTTATAAACTACAAAACTATGGCTATTAGCCTTAGAGATAACTTAGCATGTGGCATCTTCTGATGTTTACATGTTGGCAAATGTATAAAATGTTAAAACAGTTTCCCCTCAGTCTCTTTTGCTAAAAATACTGATATCCTAAAACATCTAGGCAATGATAGACAGCCTTGGTCTATGTGCTATTAGGAAACAGGTTAAGATATGGCAAGTCCTTATCCTGATGTAGTGAGATAAATTTCAGTGTTCTTGTGTAATCTCTCACCATTTACACCATCAGACTTCTAAAAACAACCACTAACAATTTACTTTGTTCTTTTCCCCTCTCCTTGAGGAATTAAACATCATGTGATCTGGCAAGTGTTGGGTGTTATTTGGAGGTTTTAGCCTGTTAACAGAATTCTTTAAATTGAGGAGATAAAAGAGATTGAATTGAATTGAACAAAGGTTATGCAATAATTAAATAAGGGTTCAATGACATTAACCTTAGTTAACCTTAGTGATGAGACTGTTTCATCAACTAAAAAGCAATTTTTTGTTACCATGTTTTATTATTTCAAAATATTTCAAACCTTCTCATCTGGGTGGATGGTCTCACAAGTTTAGATAATTTTAGGATAAATTACACAAAGTATTGACTGCTACACTCTTGATATGAGATGTCCCCCTAAAGCCCAGTAAGAGTTTTGTGCAATGAAATAAAAACTGAAAGGTGATAATTCATATTCAAGCATAATTATTCCTTTGAGGGCCAAACTTTCCCTTTACTTTACCTTGACTCTCCATAGGACATATAACTGTTAAACCAGTATATTCCTTCAGTCAAGTAGTACCTTGATGGATCAAGATGACATAAGAAGCAATTATACTACTCTCTCACTATTCCATGATTTATATTTTTT